GCTTCGCTCGCCGCCCGCCAAGTCCAGGGTAGGCAGCCCGGCGCGCGGGCCTGCGCGGCGTCACGGCGTCTGCCTACCTTCCATTGCCATTAAGGGCTAGACCACACATGATCGTATGCCATTTCGGGCCCGACACATGCTCGCCTGCGGCTGCCAGGCGGACTCCGCCCCGCCCCGCCCCACTCCACCCCGCCCCGCCCGCGGCACCGAAGGCAACCAACCAAAGAGACATGATCGCTTTTCGGCCACGTCTCCGTGACGTCACAGTGACGTCACAGTGACGTCACCAGTGACACGAGACAGGCATAGCCCATTACGCCTGGGCCACTATCGCCTTGCAACGGGGCTCAGCGCTGTCGTCGCTCTGTCTCTCTCGCTCTCACAGAGACTGCGCGGATGACGCTCTGCAGAGAGAGAGAGAGTGGACCAGGAGAGTGGGCAGAGCTCTCTCCCACTCTCTTTCTCTCTCGCTCCATCTAATCAACACCGCCGCTGCAAAAGCCCCGGCCTCCTTCTTTCAGGAGCTCTCTCTCTCTCTCTTTGCTTTCCTGGGACCGGCGGCGCTTATTCACGAGGACAGGGCTTCACAGTGTAGGGGATGAAGTTGCCTCGGCCAATCACGCGCCGCCTGTGTGACCCTCGCACTTAAAAGCTTTCATTCAGTGCAAGAGAAGCTGAGAGAGCAGGTACTACAGCGCATCCTCCCAAAAAAATACAACAACCTTTTTCAATGTTATTTTGGCGGACTTTGCCATCATCACTCATCACTGCTTTGTCATCGTGTGTGGCGAACGGTGATTCCAGGATAAAGTATGGGGGCAATGGAGCTCGACATGACTCGATGGCTCTCCAATGGCTCGTTATTGATGATGCTGGACCCCCCGCTCTCTCGCCCCCCCCTCCACACTCGTGCCCACACTCCTTCATGACGGGACGCCCCCGCACGGCTGGGATAGAGACACGTGTTTCATTTCGCAATGGGCTTTGAGTCGCTCCACGTGGAAGAGTCGAAACGCCGCGTGCTGGTGACGTCATCGACGTCAGTGACGTCAGTCGCCTGCGTTTATTACTTGCTCTTTTCCCTAGTTTTATCTACACCTTGATTCGAGGGGCGAATAATCTGTCTTTCTGAGTTTAGAGTTTAAGAGTTAAGAGTTTAAAAAAATGTTTTGCGTCCACTGATTTATAATCTGTTTTTTTAATTTAGGATAGACCATCGGTCCCTGACAAGCCTCAGTGCTTAGGGACAGTTTCTAGTTTTTTTTTTTGTTTTTTTTTGGCAAAATGTGAAAGTATATGTTAGTTGTATTTTTGTTTGTACCTTGTTTTCCTTTTCAAATTGTAAATGTTAAATTTTCTTTTTGACCTGTATTGCCATGTACCAAGGAATCAATAAACTGAAATTGAAATCGAATTGAAAATTGTCTGTTTGTCTGTCTGTCCCTGTCTATCTCTCTGCCTGTCTGCCTGTCTGTCTGTCTGTCTACCTGTCTGTCTCTTGCAGCCGTACACAGCTCGGAATCAGTTTGCAGGGCCAGACAGTCAGACCAACATGTTGGACGCGTGGTTCATGCAAAGCAACAAGTCGTGCTTCGCTTGCCCACAGCCAGGCCAGGCCCAGGCCAGGACCTGCCAGGCTCAGCCAGGCCCACAAAAGGGCTTAGCACCCCAACCGCACGCGGGAAACCGCCACTGGGGGCCACGCGGTGAACCCTCACCACGAGCCGCCGCAATCGTGTGTGTGCGATTGTGCGTGTGTGTGTGTGTGTGTGCGTGCATGAGTACGCGCGTGCCCACGGCTGCGCGCGCGTGTGTGTGTGTGTGTGAGGGAGGCGGTGTGTGTGTGAGGGAGGCGGTGCGTGTCGGCGTGTCAAAGAGGGCCGCCTGGTATTACCCTTTCGAAGCCGGACCCTTATGCCTTTCTGCGGCCAACGGGATTCGAAGAAAAAGGGGGAATATTTACATTTCTGCGCAGCGCGGAGCTTCCCAGCGACGCTGCACTCGCAGAGGCCGAAACTTTGACGAGGCGTTCCCGGAAAGTTGATCACTTGAGCCGAAACGCAGGCCAGGTAGCGGCTAAATGGCAATTTTGCGGACGCTTTGAATTTTTCTCCCCATCTCGGGCAAACTTTGGTCGGTAGCTCGCTCAAGCTCGCTCCTGGTGGGGCTGGGCGGGGCGGGGCAGGCAGGGCAAGGCCGCTCCGAAGAGGAAACTTTAATAAGACTGGGCCACTCGCTTCCAGTGGTGTCGCCACCTCACTGACTCGTTTATGGGCGCTGTCGTGGCGGCCTCAAGGCGGCCCCAAGCGGCCCCAAGGCGGCCCCAAGGCGGCCCCAAGGCGGCCCCAAGGCGGCCCCAAGGCGGCCCCAAGGCGGCCCCAAGGCGGCCCCAAGGCGGCCCCAAGGCGGCCCCAAGGCGGCCCCAAGGCGGCCCCAAGGCGGCCCCAAGGCGGCCCCAAGGCGGCCCCAAGGCGGCCCCAAGGCGGCCCCAAGGCGGCCCCAAGGCGGCCCCAAGGCGGCCCCAAGGCGGCCCCAAGGCGGCCCCAAGGCGGCCCCAAGGCGGCCCCAAGGCGGCCCCAAGGCGGCCCCAAGGCGGAAGCCCCAAGGCGGCCCCAAGGCGGCCCCAAGGCGGCCCCAAGGCGGCCCCAAGGCGGCCCCAAGGCGGCCCCAAGGCGGCCCCAAGGCGGCCCCAAGGCGGCCCCAAGGCGGCCCCAAGGCGGCCCCAAGGCGGCCCCAAGGCGGCCCCAAGGCGGCCCCAAGGCGGCCCCAAGGCGGCCCCAAGGCGGCCCCAAGGCGGCCCCAAGGCGGCCCCAAGGCGGCCCCAAGGCGGCCCCGCGGCCCCAAGGCGGCCCCAAGGCGGTCCCAAGGCGGCCCCAAGGCGGCCCCAAGGCGGCCCCAAGGCGGCCCCAAGGCGGCCCCAAGGCGGCCCCAAGGCGGCCCCAAGGGGGCCCCAAGGCGGCCCGCACCTGAGGCGCCGCCGCGCAAAACTCGGCACGTACATTGCAGACGGGGACATTTGCAGGCTTTGCTCTGCGGTGTGCCCCCCCCCCTTCTCTCCCCTAGCCTACCGTTGGGCGGGGCCTGCGGTCGGGAGAGCCTCGAACCCACCTTGCAGCGGGGTGACAGGAGCGGCGCGGGCGGCTCAACTTTTTTCATTTGGTGTGTACCTACACCCTACACGGCCCTCCAGGGGGCTCACCCACGCCAGGGCAGGGCGCGGCAAGGCGCGGCACGGCACGCTAAGGACAAGCCAGGTGTTGCCCAGCTGCGGTGCCAGCTGCGGTGCCAGCTGCGGGTACAGAAAGTAATAAAAAACGAAGGCGGAAGGTCGACATTGGGGGCGGGGCGGGGTGGGGCGGGGCGGGGTGGGGCGGGGCACGGCCACAGAGCCACCCCGAGCCCTTCGCCCTCGCCCCAAGGTGACGCCGGGTCGTGTGAAACTTCCGTCGAGATTGAAAGCACAACAACATCAAAAAGGGGCTGCCCTGTCAAAAACCACAATCCTCAGACGACTCTCCTGGTAGTTTTTCTGATACGCGAGGTATTAATTTACCACCGCGTTTCCTCTCTAGTATGACACATCTCTCGGGTCACGGTCCACCATCTCGAACACCCTAGGTGTCAGCTCACTCAATTTTTGCACCCAGACCTGACGGAGGTGCGAATGGGGGTTTCAAGATGGCGGTGGGTAACTTGGAGGTTCCATACTACTGACACTGATGTGCGAGTTCGATACTCCCAAGGCTCGACTTTAATCAGCCCTGGTCAGTGATGACTTGGACTCGGCAGAGCAGTCGAAATCCCACTTCTACTATCGGATGCCCGAAAACTCAGGAGCGGCAACTTTTCGGGGTTCATGAGTGCAGAAGTCTGGGCCTTCGTCTCATGACGTCACACTTGCGATGGATAGCGAATTTCCTCAAACCTAATTTCCGACGTACTCAGCAAGTCACGCAGCACCATGAAAAGTCAAAATGATTCCCTAAAAACTATTATTAGCCTCCCTGAGGCTTTACCTCTGTCACAGCGGGCCCCTCACTTTCACCGCGCAACCACCGGCACCTTGACAATGAACCGAGCAGGGTTCACGACCGATCTCGACTTGAGCCGTTACGACGACATACCCAGCCGTGTTTTGACCTGGACACTTGGCGTTTTGGCGCGGGTACCTCGCGTTCCCGCCTGCCGACAGGTTCACTCGGGTTTCACCCCACGACCCGTGTGCGTTAAGGTCTCCCGGTGAAACCGCGGTGAGGGATGCCTACTCGGTTCACTGTCGAGGTGCCCGTGGTTTCGACAGCAAAGAGCCTATTTGCGGCCTGCATGTGGCACTGCAGTGGAAGTGGTTCGCCTGGACACAGGGTGGACACACAACCCAAGAACCTGCATCACGATAGTTGCACAACAAGGTAGTCCACGTGAACGAGGTACACACTTCAGTCGCAAAGTTTTCTCTGGCCGAAACTTCCTTTCCCTGTTTCCAAACACCCGCACAGCCCAGGCCCTATTCGCAGCAAACATTCAAAACACTACTGACACAAACAAATGCGGATTTTTCACTGCTTTGATGATCGTCGCCACACGCATAATACCAAGTGTTAGCCACACCATGCCGTTCCCTGATATTTAGTTGAGATGTTGAAGAACTACATCCTTAGCCAAGATAGGGACACTGCCCATTAGACAGCCCAGACCCTTAAACCAGCGGACGCCATCGTCTGTAAACAGTGTCCCTTCAGGGCCTTCAGGGGCCGGGCACTTTTCTGTGTTGATTAGCATGTAAGGGCAAGGCGGAAACACGGCAGAGCTCAACACTAAATGCGCACACGATCCAAATCAATTCAAACTTGTAATTAGCAGCGGAAAATGTCGCAGAAAGGCAACATTTTCAAATTTTGATGGGCAGTAACAACAATTGGCGATTGTCGAGGTTTGTTTACTGTTTGGCTGTCGAATGGGGGTCAGAGCGACGGCACTGTGGGCACGGGCAACACCCTCACCTGGTTGGCGTGGCGGTCAGCGCGTCAGCAGCCCGTCATGGCGATCCTCCACCCGCACCTGTGGATCGGCCGGGTCGCCTGGCGGGCCTAGCGGGCCTGGTTGGTCGTCCCTCGCGCGGCCTGGACGTCGGCGCGCTCGGCGTGCTCGGCCTCCCTCGCGGCCGGCGCTGCCCTTGTGGGGCCGGCGCGGCCCTGGTGGGGCCGGGGGCCGGCGGGGCCCTGGTGGGGGCGGTGGGGCTGCGGCGTGATACACACGCCTCGCCTCGCTACGCTGAGCAGGCAGAGTAGCAAAGCCTGGCTCCTTCCTCCTGGTCGGTCGGCCCGGCTCTGAGCGGGCCGTCGCCGACCTGGCCCTCCGCGGCGGCCTCCGCGGCGCCCCCGAGACCCCCCTGGGCCAGGCCCTGGCCGAGGAGGGGGCTGGCGCGAGAGCACTCTCCCCCCGGGCCGGCGCACTGGCGCACACCCACGCGTTAACGATCGGGGTGGGGGCTGCCGGGACCGCCGGGGCTGCCGTGCCGGGCTACGCGCTGCGGGGGTGGCGTCGTGCTAGCCGTGCTCGCCATGCTCGCCGTGCTGGCCGTGCTGGCCGTCGTGGACAGTGCGGACCAGCGGCCCGGGTGCGGCCCCTTACGGCCCCTTACGGCCCCCGGCGTAGCCCCCACCCCGGGGACCATTCATGGTTCCGCCGCCAATGGGGCTCGCGGAGCCCCCACCAGCCCCCACCGGTCCCCGCCGCGCCTCCGGCCCCCCCAGCCCCCTCCAGCCCCCTCCAGCCCTCTCCAGCCCCCTCCAGCCCCCTCCAGCCCCCTCCAGGCCGCGGCCTGCCCTGGGCTGCCCCGGGCTCGCGAGTGAATGGAGAAGTGACGTCACCACACAGCTGACGGGGGTCCCCCTGCCCACCGCAACCCGACGCCGTAGCCCCGCGGCGGCAGGGCAGCGCAGGGCAGCGCAGGGCAGTCCCGAGGGTGAGAGCTGGCCTAGGTCTGGGCATTTCTGCGTGTAACCGGCCCCATCAGCGGCGTGCACACACACACACGCACGATGCGTTACATCGTCCACTCGCACGCACCAACACACACACACACACACACACACACAAACACACACACACACAAACACACACAAACACACACACACACACACACACACACAAACACACCAGCTCAATCTCGCACTCACACACGCGCAAATCCTTGCGCACATCACTAAAACGGGTCTTCGAGCAACAGTCCCCGGAGAGCAAGCAGCGTGAATAGTGTGGGGAGCCTTTTTTTTCGACGGCAAGTCCTATTATTCGCCTGTCCGGGTCGGGAGGGTCCGGGTGGGTCCGGGCAGGGCGCGAGGGGCTTCCTCTTTCGCCCCAACTAAACGTGCTAACAGGAACATTCGTCTAGACTGGGCGGAAAAGCGGTGACTGGTGAGAAGTGCAGGTTGTGAAGTACAGGTGGAAGGTAAGAAGGAGGTTGGGTGTGGGTGGTTGGATGTAGGAGGTTGGATGCGGGAAGATTGGACGTGGGAGGTTTGGACGTGGGAGGTTTGGATGTGGGAGGTTTGGCCCTAATAGAAAAGTGAAGTCCCTCTTGAGTCTTTTTTGCCAAGTCCCTCTGTAGTCCTTATTTGAAAACCCTCCGAAGTATCTAGATGGTGCATTTCAGGGATTAGGGATTTCGGGTGAAAAGGGATTTCAAAGGGACTTGAAATCCCTCCGAAGTCTCTTTTGGAGGCAAAAGAAAAAGAGGCGGACGGAGTTGAACCCTGGGTCTTCATCTTACTGACAGGAGACGTTATCCACTGCGCTGCCTGCTCTTCGTGGAGGGATCGGGTCAGCCTGCCTACCACTATCTGCCGGAGCTCAGTCAGGCGCAAGGCTCTGTCCGTTGCAGTTTTGCGTGGTTGATGGTTGTACTAGGGGGTTTTTAGGGCAGATAAACGCAACGGTGCCCTCCGTTTTCTCCTCAAATGCATATTTACAAGAATAATACGGTGATCAATATTCAAATTTGAATAAGACATTGCTTTTTATCATGATAACTTTGACAGTAGGTGACCAGTATTTGGTTTATTCCGATTTCGTTCATACAATGCACACAATCAACTTTACTGAATGAAACTCACTGTGAATTACGAATATGAGTCCATGCAAGTGTCTACACGCATGGTGTTGTGCATACATTTGTCAAAGTATTGAGAGGTCATACGCTTACTTTCAGGGACTTGCGAGAGATTTCCCAGACCATCCTGCCAGATCAGGGACTTCGGAGGGACCTGGTCGGGGGAGGGACTTGACAGGGACTAAGTATGGACTTCAAATCTCCTGAAATCCCCGGTGGACTTTGGAGGAACAAAATAGGAGCCATCCAGGGACTTCGTTTTCTATTAGGGGGCTGTGGGAGGTTTGGATGTGGGAGGTTTGGCTGTGGGAGGTTTGGGTGTGGGAGGTTTGGCTGTGGGAGGTTTGGATGTGGGAGGTTGGACGTGGGAGGTTAGGACGTGGGAGGTTAGGACGTGGGAGGTTGGATGTGGGAGGTTTGGATGTGGGAGGTTTGGATGTGGGAGGTTTGGCTGTGGGAGGTTTGGATTTGGGAGGTTTGGCTGTGGGAGGTTTGGACGTGGGAGGTTTGGATGTGGGAGGTTGGATGTGGGAGGTTTGGCCGTGGGAGGTTGGATGTACCAGGTAGACGTGGGGAGGTGGGTGGTGGGACAGACGAGGGGGCGTGCCTGCACCGTATGTGTGTGAGTATGTGTGTGTGTGCGCGCGCGGTTTATCGCTGCGCGCTCGGGATTTACGCAATGTCGCATTTCATGAATTTAGATCCCCTTTTAGCCAGAGCGGAATAAACCCCGCCCGAAAGCCACTGCGGTGCGCCCACTGTGAAGCGAGGCCGTTTTCACCGCCGAGTGGTACGAAGGAAACGGCGTGGAGGTGCGCTAGTTCGCTTAGACTGAGGAGAGGACTGGCGCTACCAACCTAAATTTATTTGTTTTCCATTGTGTCTCGCCTGGAAATGCCGATGAAACGTAGGACTGATTCCGGCTGCGCACCTGACCTTTCCCTTCCCCAATACTCACAATTTAATTAAACGAAAAGAAGAGAAAAAATGCTGCGTGGGAGGGAACAGGTCAAAAGCCGTTTGTTTAATGCAAATGTTTGTCCAAGGTGCGGTCGGCACACAGCCCGCGTTAATGCCCGGCGACTAACGTTTTCATCTCACGGCTGCCTAGCTGGCTGCGCGGCTGGCCGCACAGTGGGCCAGAAGACCGGTGGAGACGGACAAAACTCTAGACGCGTTTTGAGCTCCAGAGTCGCTAAATGGGCCTTGAACCGAACGTGTGAACCCACCAATGAATTGCTCTCCAAAAGGGAAATCCATTGGTGGGGTCACACCCTCGGTTCGAGGCATGTTTAGCGACTCTGGAGCTCAAAACGCGTCTGGAGTTTTGTCCGCCTCCACCGGACTTCTTGCCCACTTTGTGGCTGGCCGCTGTGCGGTGCTTTGCGGGGCTTTGCATGGCGCGCCTGCAAATGAGAGCAGAAGGAGGGAAAGCGAAACGAAAAAGCGGAGGGTGTTCCTGTGGGACGTGCGGGGCACTGTGAGAAGCGGCCGCGGTCACATCTCGCTCTGGAACTGTCTAAAAAAAGCAATAACACAGAAAAAGACTCGCTTGTTTAAGACTTTCTTTTTGGATCAAAGCCTGTGCTGAAACCCGTGTCAGACTGTCCCGAGGGGGCGATCACTGAGGTCCAAAACGTACAATGATTTTTTGATTTTTGATTTTTTTTATTATTTGATTTTATCAAATTGATTTTTTTTCACCTCTTTTAAGCACAATTGCCTAACTTAAAGGGGCTTTTGCAGTCGTAAGTGTGACAGACGAAGGGAAGTGAGGGTTGGACTTAATATGAAACCAAATAATTGCTCATAATGAAGAAATTACATATATACGAGCTGTAAGCCGAGGAAATAGGAATATATTTTTAAAAAAAGGCGACTCTTGGACCATTTGATTTTTTGATTGGTTTTGATTATTTTTGATTATAATTATGATTTTTTCGCCTTGTACAATGATTTTTCTCAGTGAGCCCCCCCTCGGACTGTCCACTAAAATAATTTCGCCGCACTTTGAGGCAAGAAAATGCTAAAAATATTTATCGGTACCGAACCAACGTACGCGTGTTTAGGAAGTTGACATTCTAACTGCTACGCTAGCCTCAGGGGAGCACAGTGGGCCAGAAGACCGGTGGAGGCGGCCAAAACTCTAGACGAGTTTTGAGCTCCAGAGTCACTAATCAGGGCTCGAACCGAACGTGTGACCCCACCAATGGATTCCTCCTTGGGAGAGCAATCCATTGGTGGGCACGCGTTCGATTCGAGTCCCATTTAGCGACGCTGGAGCTCAACACGCGTCTACAGTTTTGGCCGCCTCCACCGGTCTTCTGGCCCACTGTGTGGAGACGTCGGAGTAGCGGCTTTGCCCATTTGGTCCCGACATTGGCTTCTGGCCATTAACGGACGGTCCCCGCGCAGTAAGGAAAGCGAAGGGTTGTCTTGGCGGGATACAAATTGGTTCTGGAGGCAGACCGGCGAGGACAATGGGCTCGCATAGAATTACACGGAAAATTATTCCCTGCTCCCCAAGTTCCTCCGGGAAAGGCAGCAGAGAGGAAAAGACTGGAGGGAAAAAACGCAAAAATAAATACGCCGGCTATTCTAATGAAGGCGGCAGGGTCCAGGCCCCTCTCTGATTTGAACTCGAGCGACCTGGACGGTCAACTCCAGATGGAGTCAGCTTTAGCGCGTCGCTGGCCTCTTCGAGGCCTTCTTAAACTGCACACCGCCCTCCTCGAGTCCCGCCAGCGTCTTCCGAGAACCCGGCGCTACCTCAAAGGAATTTAATTAAACATGAGCAAATTGAAGAGACGAGTATGGAGTTTTGGCTCATCGTCGGACATAGTTGGGGCAAGTTCTTGCGGCCGGCTCGACATTGGGGCACAAAAGGACCCCCGGGGGGAGGGGGGGGACACCAGTGTGCTGCCGCCACTGCGGTACCTCCACTTACGCCAACATTAGGCCGACCAGCCAAGGCAGCCAAGGCCCAGCACACTGCGAGAGGAGAGCAACGAGTCTGGCTGCACGCCG